ATCAGTGAAATTGTGGGATCTTGGCGACCTTTTAGCTGGTGGTCACAACTGAGGGAGGAAAGCTGTGGGGGACGACGCTCAGCTCCATGAATCCAGCACTAAGAAGAGGAGGCATTTTGAATCTACCTCAGCAATGCATCACGTGATAATAAACCCCATGTAAAACACCTGTAAATCTGGGGCTCTGCAACAAATTCAGGATTATAAAACTTCACAGGTTCAGAGATCTTCTCATTCTTTCCACTGCCAAAGATGTGTAGTGACCATTAAGAGCCTTCATTCATTTCAACTCCCTGTTTCCTGCTTTGTTCCTCTATAAATAAACCCATAAATGTACTGATCAAAGCAACCAATACTCTAGTGAAAAGTAAATCATTATGCTGAAATGAAAACATTTCCTCGATATCCTCCTGTTCTCCCACTATTATAATGTCACTTGTGATAAAAGTTTGACCTTTAAGTGATTCATGATTAGAAAGCTCTTGGCCAGATGATTCCAGACGTTGGGGAAACAGTCTTTGTAACACAAACAGCCTTTTCTTGTCACATTTACTGATCTTCAAGAACAGAAATCTAAATGTTTTTCTGCCCTCTTCTTGAAAGCTCACAGTCTTGGGAAAGCAGTAGAAGTTCAAATCAGATAATGTATGTGACAAATGGACCACACAGCCGTATTGCTCATTATATATATTCACATTATCACAGGATGAAAAACATTAGTAAGGACACCATCACCCAGATGTTTCCTGTACAAATGTTGCATGCATGTGTGATTCAGACAAACCCAGTGAAACTATGTCTAAAGGACAGGCTGACTCATGCGTCCCTGTAAATGTGTCTGTGGCACAGGTGTCATGATGGATGCCAGACAGACTGTTTTACCTTCGTCTGCCTCAGGAAATAATTAGGACATGACTAATGTCACTGAACCAGGAAGTCTTGTTTTTTAACTTTATTAATACTGATTTGTTGCTCACATTTGTGACATAATGTCTGTTTCAGTAATGAACAAAACGTAATATATCAACGTGAATCACCTACAAGTGAAATGAATATTACTTTCTTCCACTGTTTTGTAATATAGATGTCTGCTGTGTGTCATCATGAGCAATCACATGAAATCTCATTTACTTGAGTCAGTTTTTATCTATAAATCTATAAAGATTGGGCTCCAACTAACTATTATTTTCTATATGGATCAATCTTTTAAGTGATTAATCAATACATTGTTTATCTATACAGTGTCAGTAACTATCAAATCAATATCCCCAGAGTCCATATGAACTTCAAATTGTTTGTTTTTTTCCAGTCACCAATGCAAAACACAGAGCGAGTTTGCTTGACAAATTACTTAAACGCTTAATTAATGATCAAAATCACTGGAAACCAATCGATTAATCAATGTATGGTTTTAAAACTAGTTTAAGCACAAAAACACCAAACTGATCCCTGTTTGACAGAGACAGAAAATCTACTACTCATCCCACTTCTTACGGTCAGACACTCTTTATTAGATCTGCAACTACACATATTTTCATTATCCTTTAAACTGCCTTTTATTTTCTCAATTAATTAATTGTTTATAGTATGAAATTTAAAAATAAACGCCGAGGTGATCTCTTAAAATGTGTTGCCTAATGTGATCCACAGTCAAAGACCCCAAAGATATCAAAGAATTATATAAAGAAATGACTGAATCAATTAATCAATGAATCAGAATAGTTGCTGGTTATTTCCTGAATAGTTGTTTTCAGCTGTACACTGATGATGTACTGTGGTCTGTAAATGCACACAGAGCAACAAGAAGCAGAACACCTGTTCAAATTGGTGAAAAAATGATGTTATAGTATTATGTTTGATGCCCTTTAACTAAGATATGATGCTGCCCTACAGTATGTAACACCTGACCTAAAGACCTCATCCTCATACAACATTAATATAAACCTCCTGTTGCTCAGAAGCATCTCCATCCATCCATCTAACTCACCAAGGCTCGGAGGGAGGACTCATCCAGCGCAGAGTAACTCTCCACAGACATGTTAACTTTTCTTTGTCAGGCTCAGGTGAGACGAGAAGGTTGGTGGATGTTGAATCTCGGTGTGATCTGGCTCAACGTGTAGATCTACCACCTGCACGACTTGTAGCAGCGTCTTCTTTCTTCTCTCTTGTCTCAAACTGAAGCGTAATAGAAGTGAGGAACTTTTTCTTCAGACTCAACGAAAATAAACCCGTGTCCCGCTTGTGGAGAGCATATTTCGGTCCTCTTTTATCGTCTGTTGGGTAGCAGTGAAAGCAGAAAACACTCTCCTACAAGGGGGACGTTGGCAGCTTTTTTTGAACAGAGGATTCCCACTGAAAGGTGTAAGCCCGCCCCTCTCCGTCCCCGGCTTCTCCCGGCGCTCATTCAAAGCGCGCCGCTCTGTGGGAAGACGCATAACAGCGTCCATGTATGGAGGGTGATTAGTGCCACTGTTAGGCACCAAAGTCCTGTGTGTGTGTGTGTGTGTGTGTATGTGTGTGTGGAATCTAATATAGACAGTATGAAAGATTAATTCCAGTGTGTTTACATTATGTATATGTCTGTACATGCAGTTTTCATCCACCACTCAGACATTTGACTTAAAGCCATCCCCCCACTCAAAGTGTGTTTTTATTCTTGTTCATATAGTCGGATGTTTGAGCTCCGCTGTGCCGAATAATGTCTGTGCAGAGTTTGACACTAGAAGGATGTTTTCACATTCATTTGCTGAAAGAGGAAAATCTGATTTTTTTTTAAGGGGCGGCGCCTATGAGCTTGATTTGTGACATCACTAAAAACTGGCTCCAGAAGATTTATTCATTTATTTTGGTTTTGTCCCCTTTCTTGTTCATTTTGGGAAGATATTTGTGCTTTTATTTCCCAGTATATTGTTTATGATTTGTACCCTTTTATATGAAAATGTATTCTTTGGGGGATTTTTTCTGACCCCTCTACCAAAATAAATCAATATTATATAATCAATTTGATCCGGTTTGCAAAATTCTGCATACAGAAATTTAAATTTTCCAATTATAAACCATCTTATTTTATTTTGAAAGTGAAGTCAAACAATACATTAAATTACTAAATATGAAAGCTATCAAAAGTCTACATTTATTTAACTAATTTATGATTTCTGTCTGTCCCCTGACAGTGTCTGTTCATTGTTTATCTTTGCAAATAAAGTTTTAAAAAATGAGTGTGATGTAGAAACTTGAAGCCGCCAGTGCACAGACACTGAGACTGTGAGTAAATAATGGACTTTACAGTGAAGTAGGAGACAGCTTGTGTCCTATATTCATGTTTATAATGAGGTAGAAGGTGTAGATCATTGACAGTATATATAATGGACAGAGCTTCCAGGTCGGAAAAGTTAAGCCAACGCGGTGTCTTAAAACCTGCGTTCTACGTAAAGGCCAGCAGGGGGAGCTCCATTGGCTGCAATAAACACAATACTATTCACTCTTATGGAAAAATGACCTGACTGCTTACTTGATTTATGAGCTCAGTAAACTGTTTTCTAACGAGTTCATGGTCTACATCGCTCGTTTCAAGTCTTCTTCCAAACCTTATGATGTCTATTCATCAGATTATGGTCCAATTTAGAGTCAAAAAAGCTTTTGGACGTAGCTACCGTATGAGTACGAAGCAAGATTCTGTTAATGTGTTGCCTATTTCTTGCCTAAAATCGTTTCCCAAACATATTTAATATGGAAATTATAAAAAGAAATATATCAGACACACATTATTGTTCCAAACAGCCTGTTTGTATTTATCTCAATACAATAATCTGGAGGGGATCTTTAAATGTGTCATATTTCATTCAAGGAAATGATTAGAATTAACTCCTTATAAACTCAACACAACTAACTACATAACTGTCTCTAATTTCCCTAGAATTTGTACCAGGTTACTGAGTTCTTACCAGGAAGCTTTCTTGGAAGGAACAAAGCAATAAAACTTTATCTCCCAAAATGAAAGACTAAGTGCAGTAAGGCCAGGGAATAAATTGTATGGTGGAGAAATACTGGATTCTTTATTTCATTATCCTAAAAGTATTCAAATGTATACATATTGTGTGGAAATACTGGAATTTAAAATGTATCAATACTGAAAAGTGTAATTTAACAGAAAAAATACACAGGACACACAACCTCTTCAGTAATGGTAGCTACCACACATTGACAGGGTCCAATTTGCAGTTTTATTGTGACTTATATGTAGTAATAGTAAAGGCAACTGCACTTGCTGTTTGATTTTAAAAACACAATCTTGTGGACTCACATGACCAACACTTTGCAATATAATTTTTATTCCCCTATTTCCCTCCCTTAGGTAGTATTTCTATATAGGCCAAAAGTATCTCAAAGTTCTTTCACCAACAACTACAATAGCTTTTAAAAACTGGTCCTTATTCAGTCAATAAATATAAAGAACGAATCATATTTAAGCTTGTTTTTCCCGTTAATGATCAGTCACAAGTAACAACATTTACATTACAATAGGTACAATTATCTCCAGCCTTGTATTATATTTTATTGTTCAAATTTACTCAGTGTGACAGACTGGTCTTAAGAGGCCGACTATATTTCTTCCCATACTAAATACTTCATGCTTCATTCTCTTATTCTACCATTGACAGTAACAGAACTTTGTGAGCCGAAACATTTAATGGCGCTTTTTATGTACGATTAATGGTGCATTCACTAAGATTCTTCCAATCTTCCTAAATTCAGTAATTTAAACTGGAAACGTGTCCACACTATGATGCCACGTCAAATACATGCAAAACTGCAGCATTGTTAAAGCTCCTTCTAGTCCTCTGTGGCAGATATGAAGTAGTAAAGTACTGGAATTAAAAATATATGTTTTAGCCTTACATCTATGCAGGATTTTGGTAACATGACCGGTGATCTGAGGTGAGCCAGACGTACAAGGAGGAATGAAACAACAACTAACAAAATACAAACTGAAACCATGAATGTCTTCATTAAACATTTAATAGCCACACAAGACAAAGAGCATCCAGATAGTTGTTCTTTAACAGGAATAATCAGCCATGAGCTGCGAGTCCACCCACACTCACTAGCTGAGCTTGTTGATCGGATGTTAAATCAGGAAAACGCTCTCTTGACTGTCTGTGGCACAAGGTTGCCTATTTTATATGTATTTCTAAAGTGGACCCTATGTTACACACAAAATACATCTTGTCTATCTTAAATCCTATTTGGAGGAGCAGCACACGACATTTTACACACTACTTTAACAGAAGATTGAACAGGAGACACGGCTTCAAAAGCCATCTCATCATAACACCACATATATAGTTCTATAGTTGTGATTAAAAAAAAAAAAAAAAAATCAGAATACTACTGAAGAGTATTAAAGACAAATGTTGAACAGTATAAAAAGACAAATGTTCAATAATACAGTTGTTGTTGTTTTTTTTTCTTGGTCAAAGATGCATAAATTTATCAAATCGGTTCCTCAAGCCCTTTTTAAACAAAATAATCTAGCAAAGTGCTTTAGGTTACATAAAGATGCAGAAACCAACAGGAACACTGAGAAAGATCCTGAAAGAAACAAACATGTGAAACAAGGTGAAAACAAAATGTCCTTGGCCGAAGTAACAAGGTAAAGATTAAGTTACACAAATGCACACTGACAAAGTCATGTGTCTGCGTTTGATGTTCTCAGTGTCCTTAATGAGCCATGACACGACACATACAGTTAAAAAAGAACTTCAAATCAAATTAGCGTAAATAAAATCCATTTTATAATTTATCTGTTAAGGTTAGATGTTAGACACACAAACATTTGAAACGAATAAAGCAGAATATGCATGAATAAACCGAATGACTTGCTTAGACTTTAATAGTAAAATTCATCAAAATATAAACTGCAAGATACTAATACTCACACAGGCACTTATCAGATAGGTATATGTTTCATTTCTCAAAAGTGTGCAAAAAGATAAATGAAAAGCAGAGAAGGAGATTTGGTTTTTCTATTTCTCCAGATGTTCCTGCTCTCACTCTTCCTGCTGCTCTTCATTCTGCTTCTTGGGCAACTGCAAGTGGAAAAAAATACAATTGAAAATCCTTCTACAGACGCAAAAGTATGTTTAATGGCCTTAAAATGAAAATCCACCCTTTAAGGAGAATTTCCACTGTCTGGGTAAACCTCCCTATTGTATAACGCCGGGTAATGATTTTAAACTAAATGCGGTTTAGAGGGAAAACAACACCTAGACAAATCACAATATCTCAATTTACTGCTTGTAAAATGTCTATAGTTTTCCAACCTTCACAGCTTGAATGCACAGACGTAGTTCATGTGTTTCCACGTGGACACACACAAATCATTAACCCCACAGACAATGCATCCATTGCACTGTCATCATGTACAGGAAACAACAGAATAAAGTGTACCTTTGTCATTGGATTCCTTATGTTCCCTCGTTCTCTCCCTTCTTGATTTTCTGGTAGATGCAGTCTGGTGGACAAACATTAAGATCAGATTATATACTCTCAAATTGTATTTACAAAAAAAAAGCACAAACATATACTCGAGCAGAGCTAAAGTAATATAAATGACACTTAAATTTATTTTTTAAAAGACTTGATTATTGCTTTTACTTCTCAGTGTCACTGAAAGATGACTGAGCTCCTTCTGCTTCTCAGTCCTTGCTGAGGTCGTTCTTTTACAGGAACGTTACAGTTGGACGTCTTCCTTTGACTTGGTAGTCCAATGTAGCCTCTCTGCCAGTCCCTTGCGTTTTGTCCTGGTGGTGTGTCTCTCTCAAATCCAAAGTCCTCCAAGAAGTCAGCTGTATGTGGAAGAGGACACACGATATGTGTAAATAATGAAATAAACACACAAATGCACAGAGCTGAGAAAACCCCCTCAACAAATCATTCAAAAATATAAAGCAATCTTGTAAAATATTTGTTGTGTTGAATTAAATACTTTATTACTTAATATTTTGTCGACCCCCATTATAATAATATCTAAAATAAACAAACAGACTACAGTTTGTACTGAAAATTGTAATATCTGATTTTCTGTTGATTATTGATTTGCTTTCATCAAATCTTCTTATGTTACTTTAATAAAAGAAAATACATTACCTTGCTGCTTTGATCTCCTTTGAAAATCTGGAGACGACTCGTCAAAGGTGTGTTTAGCAGGGCTCAGTGGTTTTCTGACAGATGATTTTGTTAGATTGTTCAGTGGGTGGGCAGTCTGAGGACGCATGTCACACTTGTCCTATGTATAGAAATACACAAAACATTAAATATCACAATAGATTGGAACAAATATTTCCATTTTACCTGTTTTTACAGGGATCAACATCACCGTCAAAGTTCCCCTGACCAAATATTAAATCAGCCATTGGCAAAATGCAAAATAAATCTGCCCATTTCATTTTTCTACAAATTGTTGTCGCACTCAGGAACACATTATCTTTACAGGCTGGTTGTTCAGACCATAAAGTGGAAATCTCTACAAAAGACACATTTGAATTCCGTTTTACTTCCAATAATACTGTCACATTTTTAAAGGAGGGACATCAGCCTATCAGCAAATAAGACGGCATTCATCGATGTCAGTGGCCGATGTTTATCTTCAGGCAGTGGCACAAATTGCACACAATTACCGATGTGCTCCATGTGGCAGCACGGACGCCTCTCACATCTTGGATGAGTAAAGAAATAGATTGAGCTGCAACAAGGCGGTTGAGTGCTTATCTTTGTAGATTTCTTTGTTCCCTGGCACAAAAGGGCAAATAAATAAC